GCCCGACCCCGCCACTTGCCACGGCGAACCACTCCGCGGCCTGACCCCCTAGATGCCCAGCGACTCGCCATGCGCGCTGGGCGCCCCGACGGGGGCGGCCTTGCGGGGGGGGGGGCCCCCCCGCGCAGATCCGAACTGGCGGCCTTAGGCCCTCGCGCCTCCGCGCGCCTGGCGGTGCCCGCGTCGGCCCGCAAGTCTCGCTGCCAATGCGCCCCCCAGTCCTCGCGCTCGGCCTAGGGGGGGGGGGGGGGGGGGGGAATTCGACTCGCGCCCGACGCCGCTGGATACCTCCTACCTGTCGCCGACGAACTCACTGCGGCACGGCGAATTCTGGGCCCTCGGCCCACAAGGTCAAAGAGGGATCCACTTCCGGCGGTAGCTGGGCCACGCTTCTGGACATGGGATGCCCGTGACCGCCCTGGACTTGGATTCCACCCAGAAATGGCAGCGCATCAGCCCGTTTCCCAGTTAGGTCCCCACTCCTGGTCCCTGACCTTCTTCACCATGTCCAGTCGATTTGCCCCTCGATCTAGTCGACGTCGCTGGTCTGGGGGTCGGCGTTGGCGTTGACCATGTGGCGCCCGTTGCCGCTTGACCTCCTGCCTCTTGGCTGCTGATGACAGGGTCACCGCGAGGCGCTCCCCCTGTCCCCGGGTGGTTCTTCTGTCGGTCATTGAGCAGTGAAGTCGCCCAGTTGGTATGGGTCGTCCCAGTTCGGCTATTGCTCGGGCGGAGCAGCGCCTCCGCCGCCCATGCCAGGTCGGCGAGCAGGCGCGCCACCATCGCCACCCCCGCCGCCGCCAGCCCCGTCGGCGGACACCTCCGCGGCTGCGCCGGCATTCTTTTTGGAGGATGGCGAGGAGGCCCCGTAGGCCGCGTCGACCTTGGCTCTGCCTTGCACGCAGCGCTGGAGATCGCTGGTATCGACTCCCGGCCTGAGCCCTTCAAGGTCTGCTCCTCCGAGCACTGGCCCGCGCGCCTTCTTGATGTTGGCCTGCGCCTCGACGAGCTGGCCATCGAGCTCATTCAGGTGCTGCTTGTCGCGATCGGTTTGCCCCGCGGTCTGGGACCGCTGCTTCCCCAGGTCGCCGACCTCGCGGACGCGCTTGCCATGCTGCTGCTCGAGATCGTGCTTCGCTGCGCGGAGTGGGCCCAGCGTCGGGGCCGTTGGCTTTCCCTAGTAAATGGAGGCCTGCTTCCCGTGCGCGACAGCGATGTCCTCGCCTACTTCGCCCGCTCCGACCTCGGCCTTGAGCCCGATGAAGGCTGCCTGCTTAGCTGCCGCCGCCTCGCGCGTGAAATCTGTGACAGACTTCCTGACCTCCTCGGTCTCTTGGGCCTGCTGCTCGAAGCGCCTGAGATCCCCGGGCGTGCGCTTCGCGGCTGCTGTAGCTGATGGCGCCCGCGCTCCTCTTGGTGAAAGTGTTTCACTGCGACTGAGCCCCGCGAGCACGTGGTCCTTCCATGCCTCGCGCTCGACCTTGGAAGGGCAATTGTCGCCGCACTCGCGGCACTTGTGTTTCGACGCCCAGCTGCCGATGAAGCCACAGCGGCACGGCCAATGCGGCGTCCGCGGTCCTCGTGGCGGCACGTACTCTGCCTCTGGCGGCGGCCCCGTGCTTATGGAGTGCCAGGGCAAAACCCTGGACTTGGAACGATGAGAAACTGGTCGCGGACCAGCGGCATCCGTGGAAAGATACTGGAGAGTGAGCAGTGTGCGACCTTTAGATTGAGCCAGCATGACTTGAGCCAAAATGGCAACGGAGAGTAGAGGAACAAAAACAGGGGCAAAACAGGGTCGCAGTAGTAGACAATGGGGGCAGCATAAGGAAGATCACCCACGAATATACGGCAGAGTCCGTGCCTGTGGCCAACTCCGCGGCCAGGCTTTCCACGCGGAAGCCCCCAGCCGGTTGCCGTGGGCGAGGTGGGTGCGCGCGGGCCCAACAGGAAGACAGCCTGCACAGTCACGGTGGGACACGTTCCCAGGGCGCCTAACCCTCGGCGATGCCAGGCGCGAGGGAGGGGCCGCCGCCCACCACGCTGGCCTCGGCAAGCGCCGGCACGGCGATGCTCTCCAGCTGCGCGGTGACCGTGTGGGAGTGGTCGAACCCCGCCCTTTTCGCCCAGGCCAACGCCTTCAGCTCCATGACCTCGCGAACCAGGGCCTCGGACGTCAGCTCGACGCCACTCAGCACCCCCCGCCTGTAGTACAGCTCCTCGTCCTTGTGGCCGAGCTCCTTCCACGGTGGCCTCCTGCTTGGCCAGCGTCCGCACGAGCTCGGACAGCTCGTCCTCTTTCGCCTTAAGCTGCTCTCTGTGCTCCTCAGCACTGGCAGCCTCGGCGGCCCGCAGTGGGCCCTGGGCCCCGCAGGCCCCCGCGCGCCCCCGCTGCGCTCGGGCCCTGGCGCTCCCCGTGCACGCGGGCGGCACCGCTCGAGGGGCCTCGGCCTGGGACACCGCCTTCACGCCGTCCCCGTCCACCGTGGCGAGGGCCTCACCGTCGAACCAATTGAAGCAGAAAAGGTTGGGGTAGGGCCGGGCAGGGTAGAGTAGAGCATAGTCGAGCGGAGCAGAGTAGGGTAGATCGCAGAAGGGAGTCATATATAGAGTAAGGTAGAGTGGTGTAGGAGTACAGTAGAGTCCACCCAGGTCTAGTCCAGCCTCCTCCAGCAGTCCACGTCAGTGCACTCCAATCTACTTGATCTCAATGTTATTGTCTACCTGGAGTCTGTACTGGCTGATGTGCATGCGTGCATGCATGCATGCATGCATACATACATACATGCCTGCATACGTACATGCATATAGATATACAGATATACATACATACAGGCCTGCCTACCTACAGGCAGACAGACAGACAGGCAGGTAGACAGACAGACCGATGGGCAGACATACAGACATGCATACATTTATGCATGCATACATACAGGCATACAGGCGTGCATACGAGCATACATTGACATACACATGCGTGCAGTCAAATACCTAGCTAGGCATACATGCATACGTACATACATACACACCTACATAGATACAGACATACAGACATACATTCATGCATGCTACATACATACATACCCGCGCGTACATGTGCATACATGCCTGCAGATGTATGCATCCCTATGCGTACATATCCATACATATATACATACCGGCATATCTACCTACCTACATACATACATAGATGCATACATGCATGCATACATACATACAGACAGACAGACAGCCATACAAACATACATAGATACATACATCCATACATACGTACGTACATACATACATATACACACATACATACATACATACATACATACATACATACATACATACATACATGCGTGCATGCATGCATGCATGCATGCATGCATACATACATACATACATACATACATATATACATACATACATACATACATGCATGCATACACCCATACATACATACATACATACATACATACATACATACATACATACATACATACATACATACATGCAGACCTACCTACCTACCTACCTACCTGCCTGCCTACCTACCTACCTACCTACCTACCTACCTACATATATACATACATACATACATACATACATACATACATACATACATACATACATACATACATACATACATACATACATACATACATACACACACACACATACATACATACACACTTACATACATTTACATACCTGCAAACACATGAGTGTATGTATGTATGCATGCATGTACGTGTTATCCGCCACCGTGCCGCCAAGCACAACATGGAGCGTCCTCAGGTCCCATCGCGCTCTCTTGATCAGGTGGTCTGCAGACCCGTCTCGGGCGGGACACAACCATACTGCCTTCCCGGCATGCCTGGGCCGTCGGGCGCTCCGGGGGTGCGTCGCCAGACCTCTCCACAAGAAGGCTTCGGGAGAGTGCGTCGGAGCCCGCGCCCCTCCAGCCAGCAGGCCTGGAGTGGGACCCCAGGGCCCGTCCTGGGGCCAGGGCCCCCTAAGCCAGGACACTGCCTGACCAGGCCTTGGGATAGCTCCACCTGGAGACAACGACTCGTAGAGAGAATGCTTCCTCCCACGGCTGCAGCTTCCTCGGGCGCGCCCTAACCCATTGGGAGGGGACCAAAGCTAGGAGGACCCCAAAACCATTAGGGATAGGGGGTCTGTTTCTGCAGATGTGTCAGACCAGACCGCCCAGAATCATGATCCTCTCAATGCGAACACGGGGACCTCAGTGCGGCCACGTCTTCATCGTGTTGCTAGGTGTAGGTCTCTTTTGTGCTCGAGTGCCCCTGCTCAAGGGGCCTTGATTTAAGTCGGGCGTGTCCCCCTACAGGGGGGCTTTCGAAGAAAAATGGAAAATACCCCAAAATATTCCAAAATGGTGAGAAAATACTCCAAAAAAACAGTCCCCAGATAATCTCTGGACTATTTCCGAAGATTCCCCCTGTGGCCCGACTTCAGCTTAGGGGACCTTGGCGGGAAAACGATGCCGCTTTTCGCCGGCCGACCGCTGCGCCCGCAGACCGCTCCGCCCGAACTGGAGGGGCACAAATACATACACACAAATAAAAAGACTCCCCATATTTTCCTATATGTTCTCGGTATTTGTCTTCCCCACCCACTTCCCCTAGTTTCCCATCTTTTCCTGGGAATCGACAATTGATTGTGCCTGCGTGTTTTTTTCCCTCCCGAGACCGCTTTGCGCCCGCAGACCGCTCCGCCCGAGCCCCGCTTCGCCGCCGGACCCCTCCGCCAACGGCTCGCGCCCCGCTGGGGACCGGGCCGCCGGCAGACCGCCGAGGCCGCCGCCGCCGCCGGGGACGACGACGACGACGACGACGACGACGACGACGACGACGACGAAGACGACGACGACGACGAAGACGACGACGACGACGAAAACGACGACGACGACGACGACGACGACGACGACGAGAACGACGACGACGACGACGACGAGAACGACGACGACGAGAACGAGGAGGACCGGAGGCCGATGTCCTCGCCGACGTCCTTGCGCCCCTGCCCGTCGGACGCGGCCAGGTGCTCCTGGGGGGCCAGCGTGTGGGGGGGAGCAGCTGGGGAGAGGGGTGGGGGGGAGAAGGAGAGGGCGGAAACATCGAACTGCCCCTTTCCTTTCCTCATCATCCTCATCTCCTCGTCATCCATCCCGCCCTCTCCCTACTCTCCTCTCTCGTCCTCCTCCTCCTCCTCCTCCTCCTCGTCCTCCTCCTCCTCCTCCTCGTCCTCCTCCTCCTCCTCGTCCTCCTCCTCCTCCTCCTCCTCCTCCGTCCTGGAAGCAGCTGAGGGGAGGGGAAACATCGACCGGTAGGTAGATCGGACCCGTGCGCGCAAAGGACGCTTTTCCGGTGCTTTCTCGATGCTGGAACTGTGTGCCTCTGCCCCTTCGGGCAAGGACGCCTGACGAGTAGAAGGGCATGCCCCAGAGGGGGAAAGCGGGGGATGAGGAGGGGAGAGGAACCGGAAGACGGAGGAAGCGGGCGCGCGGCCGTGGGACCTGAGCCACCCCCACCCCCACCGTTAGGCGCGCGCGCGCGCCCGCCTGGGGAATCGGCTATACATCGCCGATAGATTGGCGACAGGTCCCCGATAGCGAATCCGCACGTTCTTGAGCGGGGTGGCGCTATCGGGCCCGCATCGGTGATGAGTGGGCGATTGGGGGTCGCTGCATCCTCCCCTCTGAGCTTATGGTAGGTTCGCGTCGCGTCGACCGGCGGCGACCCTGCCGCTGGCGCTCGACGTTGAACGCCGCCAGCGACCGAGAATATGTCGATGTTGAACGAACTGACGTTTCGCAAACCGCCGATCGTGCAAGGTTGAACGATCCCCGCGGTGTCAGAAACCAACGCCGAAGTCGGCACGACGCGAATCTGCCGTCCCCCTGGACGCTGAAGCTCGGGGACGTTGCAGCCCGGGGACGGGGAACCGGATAATTAGCGTGTCGCGCCGACGCGTGGTGCGCCAGAACCGGCGGAGCGACACGCTACCCCAACTCCAGACCAGAGGCCACCCTAGATGGGGTCGGAGCAGATGGGGTCGGAGGATCGCGCCGCACCGGCGATGCATCGACGATGCACTGGCGACGCCGACGTAGAGCAAATCGGGATCCACATCGAGCCACAGCGGCGAGGCACCGGCGATGCAGCGCGATCCTCCGACCCCATCTACTCCGAACTGTACCCCTCCGTCCCCGATTGGACCCCGGAGCTCCAGGCCCTCCAGGCTGAGCTCCAGCACCGCCAGGCGCTCCGGGACCGCCGCGCCATCGCCGCAGGTGCCTCTCTGGCACGGGCGCGAAGCTTTGGGAGGGCGCAGCGAGGAGGAGGAGGAGGAGGAGGAGGAGGAGGAGGAGGAGGAGGAGGACGAGGCGGAGGAGGAGGAGGAGGAGGAGGAGGAGGCGGAGGACGAGGAGGAGGAGGACGAGGAGGAGGAGTAGAGGAGGAGGCAGGAGAGGAGGAGGAGACGAGGCGGAGTAGGAGGAGGAGGAGGAGGAGGAGGCGGAGGACGAGGATGAGAGGAGGAGGAGGATAAGGAGGAGGAGGGGAGAAGGAGGAGGAGGAGGGCGGAGGAGAGTCGAAGGAGAGGCGGAGGAGGAGGAGGAGGAGAGGAGGAGGAGGAGGACGAGGAGGAGGAGGAGGACGAGGCGGATGAGGAGGCGGAGGAGGAGGATCCAGGGTCAACGCGGGCGGGCGAGGGCCCTGTCGGGGGCGCACGCGCCAGGAAAGCCGGCGCCACCTCCGCCCGCCCCCCCCCCCCCGTCTCGCTCGAGCCATGCCCTCCGCATCCCCAGCCCGGGGCGGCCGTGTACGGGCCCCATCGCTGGGCGTGGGGGGCCTCCGCCGGTACCTCCGCGAGGCCTCCGAGGAGCCGCCCCCGGGCAGGCCTCCCCGGAGGCCCCGCGCGGCCTCCCAGAGGCCCGCTGCCCACGACCCAGGCACGCACGGCGGGAGGCGCCCAAGCTCGCCATCGCTCGGACGTCCATTCCCTGCTTTTTCGCCAAATGATCAAGGATGCTCCTCGATGGCCGTCGCCGAGAAAAAAATGCACACGTCCGAGCGATGCCAGGCAAGAGGCCGGTCCACGACCCAGGCACGCCGGGCGGGCGGGGCCCAAGAGGCCCCGCCGCACCTCGCTCGCACGGCGGGCGCCCGCCATTTATGCCGCCGGGCCGCCGGAGACACGAGGGAGCGCGAGAGGGGGCGAGGGAGCAGAACAGGAGCAGGCGCGGGGGAAGGAGAGAGTTGCCGTGCCACAGAGCGGGAGTCCGGGCAGACCACTCGAGCGAGCCCGCGGGCCCCGCGATGGCTATACTCCAGATTTCGTAATAAAGGGAGGGGGGGTCTCATTTCGGGGGGGAGGTCCCTTCCAGGCTATCTTGGAGGGCCTGGGGGGGTCTGGGGACGGTGTTTTGGAGGGTTCTCCCACGGGGGAGGTCTGAAGTGGCCTGTCTTGGAGGGTCCAGACCCCCTCCCTTTTGTTACGAAATCCGGAGTACTCCTTCCTACCCTCGCAGGCGAGGCCCCTCCTGGAACGCCTCGCGCGGCGGGCTCCGGAAGCCCTGCAGCCAAAAAAAATGTTGTCACCTCTCGGGGGCGCCTCGTCGACTTCCGCCCGCCTCCGCGGGCCTTCCGCCGCCTCTTCCGCTGGCGGAGCCGCACCCGTTTTTTACCCCCGCCGCCTGCCACCGACCCTCCTCCGCAACCCTCCGCCGAGGAGGAGATGGCAACTCATTCGATCCTCGAAGGCGAGCCGCAATACGCAGAAAGCATCTATACACCACCACCGTGCCAGGCCAGGGCCATCCTGGGCCCTGGGATGGTGTATACGCCATCCTGGCCGAGGCCAGGAGGGTCTATACACCGTCCTGGGGCCCAGGATGGCCCCGGCCTGGCACGGTGGTGGTGTATAGATGCCTTCGCTGGACGTAATACAGGAAGCAGCACAGGAGCGACAAGAAGAAACGGGCCTTACGCGAGATGCCAGGCGTTGGCAGAACTGGGTTCAGTAGGACCTGGTTTAGCGATGTGCACTGGGGAACGCCTCCCCCCCGCACCGTTCCACCAACCGGAACTGCCGTCGCCCGAAAAACACCAGCTACGGCAGACCTGGTTGAGTGATTCTGGCCCGTTTAGGGGCTCCGGGGCCCTACTACTAAGCGGGTCCCCGTACCTGGGGTCCTGGCTATACCCGAAGATGGCATGGCGGCCTCACGCCGCCGCTCATGAGCGGGCCGCCGGCGCGGCGCGCTGCCAGTGGAGACGAGGGGGGTGCTCGCGCGCGGCCTTGCGCGGGCAGCTCCCGCGGCAAGCTCGGCGGAGACGGCCCCGCGTGTCCTGCGCCGCTCCGTGCGCGTGCAGCAGCCGGCCACGCTGAGGCGCGGCCGCTCGCACGAAGCGGGCCAGGCGGGGGGCGAGCTCCTCAGGCCGGGAGGGCGAGCGCCCGCGTCCACGGCGCCAGTGGGGAGCTCCTCCTGGACGACGGGGCTGTCGGCAGGGCGCGGCCGCGCGCTGGGACGCGCCATCGCTCGGACGTCCAGTTCCCGTGCGTTTCTCGGCCTCGTGCGTGTTTTTTGTTGTTGCCCGATGGCCCAGGAGGGTCCTCGATGGCTCTCGCCGAGACAAAAATGCACACGCCCGAGCGATGCCGAGGGAAAGTTTGGCTCCGCAGCCGGCGATGACGCAGGGATCGCCCGGCACGGTCGTGGGCGCGGCACGCCTCCGCCGCCGCGGCCTCGCGGGCCCGGGCCCCTTCTGGCCGCGCGACCCCGCGGACACGCGCACAGCGGCTCGGCTCACCCGCCCGACTGTACACCCCGCACGCGGACCTCCCCTTTATTTTTCCTCCTCTCCTCCTCCATGCCTACCTCCTTCCTCCTCCTTCCCCTGCCTCCTCCTCCTCCTCCTCCTCCTACCCTACTCATCCTCCTCCTCCTCCTCCTCCTCCTCCTCCTCCTCCCTCCTCCCTCCTCCGCCTCCTCCTCCTCATCCTGTGCTCATGCGACCCTGGCGGCAAAAAGGCATAACCGTGCGACCGCGCATCCGCGGGCTCGCGCCCCGGAATCCGGACCGAGAGGGGGCGGATACGGATGTCCGCCGCTCTTGGCATGTGGCCTGCGGGCCGCTACGAGACGCGGACAGAAAGACCGCCTCGGGTTTGGGAAGGGACTCGCTGTGCCTTCGGTCATTCCGTGCTCGCTCCTCCAGCCCTCCTCGTCCGCCCAGGCTCTTTCGGTACCTATCTGGCGCTCCTTATTGCTGACTGTATGCTCGCGCAGTTGCCACACAATCTGTTTTGGAATGACGGCTCTCACCTGGTGTGGCGGCGAAGAACGTGCGATGGGCTCTAGCAGAAGCGCTAGATGGCCGACTCCGGAGACCTTGAACCAAAATATACCTCGCCATCTCCTGGGGCGCATCGCTTCCTTCCGCCAGCCTCCGCCGGCAAAGCCCCCCTCGCTTCACTAGGGGAACCAGAAGTGGCATAAACACAAAAACTCGGAGGTCCGCGCGGATTTCTCGGATCGGCGCTGGACCCCCCTCCCTGGCCACAGAAGCGCGGCCTATACGCAGCGCGCTGCTACGCGCCTGATCGGCGTGCCGCTTGAGTTTGGCTGGGGACATCAGAGGAATATCCGCGCGGACCTCCGAGTCTTTATGTTCATGTCGCATACTTTTGGTTCCCCGATTCGCGTCCGCCGCACTCCGCCAGCCTCCCGCCCGCCATCCGCCGAGGCAGAGAGGCCGACCTCTCAAAATTATCCCTCGAGGGCGACGCCTTTCTCCCGGAGGGCCGCGCGCGCGGCTCCGGCACAGAACCCTGATACAGTCGGGGCGTTGACCAAAGGAACGATAAATAAGGAACGAGGCCCCTTTCTTCCATAAGTTAAACTTCGACTTCCCATCGAAAACGTAAGGACAACCTAAGGCAAACTGCGACACGATTGAGGAACACGGAGCCCCTCCTCAACGAAAAGGGTTCTTTGTTCACCGCCCCGACTGTATGGAGCCACGAGCCCCGACCTCGGAGCACGTCGGTGGGCGCTCGCGCCCTCCAGGGGAGAGCAGGGAGGGCGGGAGGGACGAACGCTTCGGGAGGCCCAGATCGTTCCCGTGCTGTGCGGCTCCCTCCTCCTCCTCCTCCTCCTCCTCCTCCCTCCCTTCCTCCTCTCATGCTTCCCTCCTCTACCTCGTTTCCCTCCATCTCCTCCCTCCTCCTTCCCCCTCCTCCCTCCCCTCTTCCTCCTCCCTCCTCCTCCGCCTCCTCGATCCTCCTCCCCCCTCTCCCCCTCCTTCACCTCCCTCCTCCCTCATCCCTACCCTCCTCGATCCTCCTCCTCCTCCTCCTCCTCCTCCTCCTGAGGCCTTGCTGCTGGGGCCCTCAGGAGAGGCACAGGACCAAGAAGGATGAACGCTGGGGAGGCCCAAATAGTTCCCGTGTTGTGCGGCTCGGGGGGTTGAGAATCAGCTCACGTGGCTGATTCTCCTGGCGCAACCCGGCGCCGGGAGGCGCCCATGCATTGAGGAATCGGCCCCTCGGTGGGGCCGAAACCAGCTGCATGCAACAAATTTCGTAACCCCCCCTTTCCCAATCCCCCCCTTTCGTCCAGCCCGAACCTTGCTGCTGGGGCCCTCCGAAGAGGCGCAGGACCAGAAAGGAGGACGAGTGGAACGAGAGAGCCGGGAGGCGAGAGCAACGAAGGGGGGAGCACAAGCGCGCTCGACGGGGCAGAGTGGGGAGGGTGCAGGACCGGTCAAAAAACCTCGATCCTGGATGCCTTTTCTCTCCTCCTCCTCCCCCCCCTCCTCCTCCTCCTATTCTCCTCCTCCTCCTCCTTCTCCTCCTCCTCCTCCTCCTCCTCCTCCTCCTCCTCCTCTTCCTCCTCCTCCTCCTCCTCCTCCTCCTTCTGCTCCTCCTCTTCTCTTGTTTTCAGTGTTTCACAAGATACCTGGGAGCGCGGAGTAAAGGCGTGATACGTAATGCCTCCTGCGGGCGCCCTGTGGGCCCGCGGGGCGAAAGTGTCTCAAGGGGGAGCGGTGTGGGGTCTCCTGGTGGGCGTTCGGATCCTCCTCTTTGAGAGATGGCGGGGACCGTGAAGCAAAGGCGTGATAGGGGCCTTCTGCAGCCATGGGGCGAAAACGCGTGAAGTGGGAGCGGTGTGGGTTGTCTTGGGGTTCTCTTTGGCCGTCCTGCGGCTCTCTTGGGCTGCCTTGGGGTGTGGAGGCCGTCTTGGGGCGTTCGGGGGCTCTCGTAGGCCCCCTGATGCCCTCCTGAAGTCTCC